AAAATAAAAAGAAAAGAACCGATACTGCCGACGGATGTTCCGCACTGTTCTATGTGAGAATAATTAGGCAGGGCATAAAAGGTAATTTGATTTAGATCCGTACGATACGATGAATCGTTGCTAACGAAAAACAGTATTCTGAACGAAGTCTGGTAAACCACGTGTCTTGAAATGCCGGCTGCACACTTACGATTTTCTTCAAAATTATAAACGCTTCCAGATAGTTTCATAATTAAATCTCAATAAAAAAACAACTAACGCGATTAACTATTTTTTTTTTTTTTTTTTTATTACTATGAAGTAAAATGTTTCGACCTTGTGTAATTAAATATGGTAAAGCATTTTTGCTTGGCCAAAACAATTCATGCAAATGCAAACTATAAAAAAAAATTGATAATTTCTAGTGCAATTTCATAAATAACTCGACAATTTCCAGAATTTTGCCACGTCTAGAAAGAGGCAATGTAAATATATTATGAATATAGTTCGAGTCTCTACAATTATTTTCAACAGACTTACACCAGTAAAACATAAAACAATTTGAAAATAAAAAAACAGTTATTGCTGAGAATTTTCTTGTTTTTCCCACATTAACGTATGAAACCTATGAGGAAAATCAAAAAATAATTTCTGTACACCGACTAGGCAATTACTTATACTTGTATTGATCACGAGATTATATGATTGAGAATTTTCAGTATTATCAGCTATTATAACAATTTGTTTTTTTTTTTTTTTAACTTTTTCGCAATAAATTGAACCATTAACCCAAATAATTAATCCGTAAAATCGGATTAGTTATTGCAATTCTGATTGGTTATCATAATTCGGATTTTATGTTACCATTTTTTTCAATCCTGATTTAATCTGGATTTCGAATTAGACCGGATTTATCCGGATTAAATGCCCAGTACTACTGTATACTACCTAGATGTACATACCATTCTTTTGTAAATCAAAAACTGGAATTAATTATATTTTATATTTTATATTAATCCTCTTCTGTTCGTCTTATACAGTGACGTATTTTCTATCATATTCAAATCACATCAAAATTCAATGTATACCTTCAAAAACTGATTTATGATTCAAAAATCAAATTCTAAGTTAGTTAATGAAATTGTCAATAAATGGCATGAACACTGTTACTCTATAATAACTTCAAAACTCAAATCACATACTTTCTCATATAAAAGATGAAATACTTTTTCTGCATCCTGTTTCATTTTTTTAAAAATATGATCTAATAATTCAATAGTATTTAAAGTATTTTTTCAAATCTATCCGTTCTTTTTGTAGCTGTTTACAGATAGGCAGTCTAAAAGAAATACATATCTAAAATATTTGTTTATATATTTATAAGTATTTGAAGCAGCAAATACAATTTGTATATAATTTTTAATTATTTGAAATATGAATACTGATAGCAGATAAATTGACCAACACGATTATTGGTGGAATCTATCTATGCATAATCGTGATGACAAACGAAAATTATTTATAATGTACATAAATGTAATTAATAACGGGTATTAGGTAGGTTGTTTGTAGAGAAGTAGTTCCTTTTAGAGGAATTTTATCACTGTAGCTTTTCGATTTCCGACTGGCAAATGGCAACCATTCATAACAATATTATGATTACATTTTTTTTTGGTGATTACAAAAAAAAAAAAAAAATATTTTATGTGATTACAACTTATATTCGCACGGATGTTTATATAGGTATACATGAGGTCAATGGGAGAGGGAGAGGTTGAGGGTACGGACCCCATGAGCCCCTCCCCCTAAATACGCCACTGGTCTTACAGAATAATTTTATACTCCTTTGCCGGCGGTGTTTTTCTAAGAATCTACGATTTTATCGTTCGGTTATGAAATTACCCAATGTCATTGTTGAGGCTGCCATTTTCATTATCTTTTATCTTGCCTAAATGCAGATGTTGATAACAATCCTTTTGAGGGTTATGTAATCAGATAGTTATGTTTTCCGTAATTTTCTGGATAACAACATTTGTATACAGCTAAAACAAATATTTTATAATTGTATGTGTTACTCACAGTTAAAAAATTCGATGTTATTGGCTATAGTGATTTACGCCCTTCGCGTATACAATATTATTTTAGTTATTTAGATTTTTAACTTCCCGATATAATTATCTCAACAGTTGACAATGAACACAACAAATTCGTCTTTATTTTTATTTAGATAAATTTCATTTCTCTATTATCATATCCCAGTTAATTTAAATATTCGTTATCTAAATATCTCTATTTTCAAGGCTGTATTTTATCTTTATCTCTAGACACGTTTTACTTGTTTGCGTCGCAACGCTGCACATTATATAAATATTTATAACCGTTCGTCGTCTCGAAAATTTCTTTAACTCGGGAACTTCCAAACCTCCAACCCTGCCAATAAAACGAGACCGGCAAAGTCCCCAGACGAATCTACCCCTATCCGTCTCGAGGGGATGGCCGTGTCCCTCGAAATATATACTTTTCTGTTGTAGACTTTCCTGATTACTTTTTCCGAATTCAATACTAGCCACCGGTAAAGGCAATAGTAATAATTTTCAAATTATTCTCATCAAAACTTCCGGTAAAAATCGTTGAATTCACCCTTAATTAAACGTTATTTTTTAATTAGTTTTACATCGTTTGATTGTCTTTACGAGTTTAATTTTGTGTTTGAATTAACTGAAAAATCTTTATCAATCCTGGTTGATAACCTTCGTATACGCATAAAACGATGGTTTCGTGCAACCAATGATCCAATGATATCCTAAGAAGATTTTAAGTAAATTCAATATCCGTTGTTATTACTGTCAATCGTAATAAAATCATTATTTTCTTCAGCATTTATTTTAACGTTACGAACAGATAATGTCTGCATTCAATTATCGACACCGTCAAAACCAAAATTGTGGCGGCGCAGTCGGTTTTCGGACTTGCGTCGTTTACATAATACAAATAATAAAAAAAAATAGCCAACACGTATTATAAATATGTGTGTGTGCCTTATGGTCATTTCGACGGACGGCGACTAATTTCACGTGCGGTTCTGTATTATTATCAAATGTAACGTTATAAAAAATATACCTACCTAACCATTTTTTTTTTTTTTTTCTAACGATTTTACATTTAGAAAATAAGCCTAGGGACGCACGCGAATCGTTTGCATAATAGTATATTATGACGTATTTTTATGCGCATAACATTTCGTGTCATTTTCGTAGTATTTTTTTTTTCCAGCCGCATTATTATTATTATTATTATTGTATTTTAATTTCTGTTTCTATTTTCCACGCACGACACGGCTGTATATTTATTTTCCGCGCCGCTTCTTCCGGTCTCGCCGACCTGTGTCCAGCAGCAGCTGCCGCGCGCCATACCGGCCCCCCTCGCCCCTCCCCCGTCGCCGTCCGCCCCGGTCGATCGGTTTTCCAGGTGACCGCAACGCAATAATATCGCAATAATTTTTTATTACGTACAATTATCGTCATTACGTACCGGCGAGTACCGTGTATAGATTATCGCATAAAAAATTATATTATTTTCAATAGTTATAGTTTTCCGGGGGAAAAAAAAAACGCCGAGGTCTTGTTGCGTGTCGCGAGCGACGACAGTGCAGCGCGGCGGTCGCGCACGACACGCGTGCGGGCCGCGCAAACGGGCAAAACAAAAAAAAAAAAAAATAATAATAATAATAATAATAAATAAATGAAGAATAATATTTCTCACGTCCGTTCGAAACAAAATAAATAAAAAATTGTTTATCGTGTAAATGACCGCGGGACACGATTATAACACGGGTATGCACAACAGAAATACAATTAGGTACCCGCAGCGTATATTATTGCGCCGCTCGTACATTGCTATTATTATCATTACGCTATTATACACCTAGGTGTATTATAATTCCGGGTGGTTTTTGTTTTTATACATTTCTTCTCCTCTACCGCCCGCCCGCCGACAACACCCCGCCCCCCCGCCCACCTCCACCGCCCCACCGCCATTTAAACTTTACGACCTTTAATTATAACACGACGTACTACGTACTATAACGTTCGGGTCCGCCGGCGGAAAAATTGCTGTTGTCTGTGTCCGGGGCGCCAACAGACGTACGCCGCGATGCAATCGCGCAAATGGTTTTTTTTTTTCGCGCGCAGTTAGAACGCGAAATTAATTACGGTACGGCCCCGGCGCCACGGAAAACGTACCGCGAGAACAGTGTCGGAAATAACGATAATATATTATCACAATAACAGCGCCTATAATACGGGTACCTGCGTGTTTTCGCCGGTCGCGTATTATTATTACACGCGTACACTGGATTCGGCCCGGGGACGGAGACGTCGGATTTCGGATGTAATCTCGTCGCACTTGTACGTTACGTTACCGTCGATGCACTCGAATTCCGGGTGCGGCGTGTTCGTTAACCGTATCACGGCCAGTTGTCTCGCGCGATCGCCGCCGCAGTGTCCGGTCAGTTTGGAAAACCGCGTCCGTTTTACCGGTCGAACCGGCCGTTTCGCCCGGCATCCGGTTCGTGCAGCGAACACGGGACGTTTCACGGGATTCGACATTCCGACCGGTTATTATACACGTCGACCGAACCGTTCGATATTGGTTAAAAATATTATGGCCTTCTTTTTTTTTTTTTCTCGTGGACGACTTTTCTACCGGCGATTTTACTCCAATTTATAATGAAAGCGGTTTTTCTAAAAGGAAATTTGACTGGGGAGGTACTTTAAAGAGGAGGTCATTTTTCGATTTTCTCAACAAATGTGAAACGCCGAAAACGAACGTAGGAAAAACAGAAAAATCGGTATATTAAACAAATATTATCAAAGAAAATATTTAATGCCTATTCAATTATTTTACTATAATATAAACTTCGCTCAGAATTGGTTTTTTTCGTTAGCAATAATGATTTATGGTTTATCGTCGCTTACAGGTGTACATTAAATTACTAAAAACAGTGACTGTATGCGACCTTATTATCTTAGGACGTCTTTTTTAATAACATGTACGATACAGATTAACAGTTTGTTCAGACAAGACGAACTATCGCGGCATTTACAATTGCATAAAACGTTATTTTTCTTACAACTCCATTTTGCTGAAAGGCGTTTTCCTTTAAATTCGCATCTTTTGTAACCCTCGCAACCAGTAACCGACGATTTCCTGACACATTCCCCAAGAAACAGATATACACCAGGAATACTGATGTTCAAAAGAAGATCAAGACCAAGACTCTCAAAATCTTGGTCTTGATCTTTTTGGTACATATGCTAATTTTGGTCTTGATCTTGCTCAAGAATCTTGCAAGACTTTTGCTATTTTCACACAAAATGTACAAAAAAAAAGTCAAATACAATATTATAGAGCCTGTTGTAAAGCGTATTGTCAACAGACTACTAGTCAATAACAGTAACGGCATTACTATGATGTATAAAGACACTAGTTTAGGTACAAAAAATCCAATACGGCAATCATATCATACAACTATGGACAAAACTTTGTAAAGATGATACCCACCGAATTGGCTTTTATTGTACTAATTCAAATTATTTCCAATCTTTTTTTCATCAATTCACCATTTTCTCGAAAAACCGATAAAATTCAAAAACGAGATAATATCTTATTATATTCGCTGTAAATTTTTTAATTAAATCTAGATCCACTAATGTGTTTTTGGTAGAAAAAAAAATTGCTAGAGTCTTGCAGTGCTAGTCTTGTTTTAGTCTTGGTCTTGCAGCGTTGGTATTGTTTTGGTCTTGGTCTTGCCAGTGCCAACACCATCTTGGTCTCGGTCTTGGTCTTGTAACAAGAGTCTTGCGAGACTGCAAGACCAAGACCAATTTTGATCATCATTAATCAAGAAAATCTTCTTCGGATATTTCTTTGTGAATATTAAACTGATTCCTGGAATGTGTATCTAATTTCCTATTTTGGTAACAATTTTATGCAAGGGTCTTTTTCCTCCTCTACCTCCAAACTAATTCCAAGAATATTTCTGGAATCACTATATTTTCTCTTTCAAATTCAAAAACTCGAGTTTTGACAGTATTTCCCGTTTTGGCCATTTGTAAATTTTCTTTCAGACGTTATATGTTTATTATGTTTTACAGTGAGGTATTTAGAATTTTTCCATAAGTAGAATACATCGAATTTGGAAATCAGATAATGTTATTTAACGTATAACAAGGATTTAAAAAAAAGGATAATTTTTTATCATAATATAATATATTCTCGTAAGTAATTTACATTTCTATTTCTCCTGAAATTATCATTGAAATCAAATACCTTACGATGTAGGTTTAGATAAAAGTAATAATTATTAACTTCGTTTACTATTACTAAAGTTAGGTACTTACTAATCTGACTTCCTTCAAATTACATAACGCTTCGGATTAGTTTCGTTTCGAATAAGAAACTATGTAGGTACGTACCGGATTTTTTTTGTATTCTATATAATATTAACTTTGTGCATTAAAATGTGGATTTTTCGGACTAAAAAGTGTAGAAATTTTAACTTAAAAATTGTCTATTATATAAATATATAATAGATATTGTTAAAAAAAAAAATTTAAAGGGGAAGATGCATCTTCAAAATCTCCCTCCGTAAATATGCCACTAATATATTTTGTAACTTGTATAGGTACTGTATAACTAGAAAAAGCTAGACAAAAAAGATATAAATTTTTAATTTATATATATTTGAAAGTAATTTATAGTATTATTTAATTTGTCCTGAACTATTACCGTTAGAATCAAATAACTGTCGGTACGATAGTTATATTATAGTAATTATATTATTGGCCATCATTTATCGGCTATAATAGGGCACCCAAACATATTCGATTTTCCCGACTAAAAACAAAGAAAATTAAATTAAAAACGAGTACCGATATATAATAATGTATACGCGAATATACGAGTATTTTTAGTATAAATAAAAACCCTAATGCTCACCCTCCCCTGTCTCTAATACGTCATTTTGTTTTTAAGTATAATATAAACGAAATACAAATACGTTTATTCTACACGAGTAAAACATTTTACCGTATAAAAATATCAGATATCGGATATTTTACTAATCGCCATTTATAATAAATATTAATATTATGAAGGTACCCACCTAATTAGACTGGAGGACAAAATTATGCAATTTTAAGAAGAATTGTGGAAAAAAGCGACTTTGGCAAATAAAAGGGATATTATGATAGGTTACATATCTTATATATAAGATTACATATTTTTGCACTATAGTTTGTTGATGATGATTATTGGAAATTGCGTAGTCGATAAAATTTGATGAGAATATATCCCAAGGGTGAAATATATACCGCAAATTATGAAGTGACCTGGGAATGAAACTATGAAAGGTTCTCGAGCATTGAAAGATTTTAGTTTTCTACACAGACAAGTTTGCAGAACTTTAACCAATCAATTGAATCAGAAGAAACAGAAGAACTGTCCATCGACTGTGTGTGAACATAAACATATTAAGCTGAAAAAACAAAAAAATAACAGAAACCGCTATCGTTCGTAAATTTACCGTTTTTCTGGCATTTTCCCCATGAAAACTCCAAGGAAAATAGAAAAATTCCTCTCCTTATGCATCACATGCTAATCTCCGGCATTTTTCACGAGAAATATTCGAAAATTCGTCGGTGTTCAAAGCACGATTATTTGTGGAAAAGTGGTTGGTAGACAAACCACTTACGTCACCGTATACAGCGAAACCAATATAATATACGTCACTGATACACGCTCAGAATCGAAATAGGTCTCGATGACGTTTCGATTGAGTTGACGCACGAACATATTTCGGCACCTACGATAAACTGCATTATATTATACGAGGGGAGGGGGAGAACATCTTGTGCGAGGTTTTTCACAGCCACCGACGCTTTTTGAATTGAGAAAAAAAAAAGAAAAAAAAAAAGCAATAACGCGAGAGCACATGGCAGATCGTTGAAAATTTATTAACTTTTTATTTTATTTCGCGCGTTTCGTACGAACGAAAAACGGCGGCGGTCCGTACTATTATTATAGGTACGTGCGCACCGCTTGTTCCGGCGTCTCAGCAACAAATCTGGCTATAGTTTTTGGGTCGACCGATGGCCGTAAAACCCTCGTTAAAATAATCCTCCAGACTTTATATACCTGCGTATGTATACGCGCGTACACGCACGCACGCACGCACGCACACACGCACACACAAACACACACGCACACACGCGCACACACACAAACACAAACACACACACACACATATATATATGTATAGACGCCCGCAAGTTTTTGCCCTCGCCGCCGCGCTACACGAGTACACACGAGTATATAAAACCGAAACGCATAAAACACACGCGAGGGGTAATAGATTTGTCGCGGGTATACGTGTAGGTACCGCACGTCGAAGCTAGGGACATTCCGTTATTTGTTGTGTTCCGAGGACGTGTGTAGTGTTTGCTCCGCCGTGGGACGGCGCAAGAGGGGAATCGGATAAACCGCGGTGTTCGAAAAACGAGCGGATGGTTTCTCGCGCGCGTACGCGTTGTGTGCCGTTCGCCGGGAGGGCGCCGTTTCCCGAATACCCGACCGTAGCGCATGGGACGACACAGGTTCGGCAAACGGTTTTGTCGCGGGGATGCGGACGATACCGCGGAAAACCGCGACGGCCGGTGACGTTTCTCGTTGTCCGACGAAAGGACGAACCGATCGGGCGGGACGCGCGCGTCGCGATTGGATTTCAAACGCGTTCGGTTTATTGAACGGTTCGTATTGCGAAACGCGTTTCGCGCGCGCAAAGACCGAACGTTCCGTCGAACCGAAACGAATGGCGTTAATGCGATTTTAGATTCCGAACGGACCGAGGAATCCGTTTGTGCCCGTCAAAAGAAAAAAAAAAAAAAAAACTTTAAAGGAACTCTCTTGTAGTTCTCTCGATAAATCAGAAAACTGGCGATTTGTCGCGTTGTACGTTTTTCTCGATTTCCGGGTTATCTTAAGCGGGACACGCGTATATTATTAATATCGCTTTGCGCGGAATCGTTTTTCGTTAGAAACGGGGCCGGTCGTTTCATTCGACCGGACGTAAACCGAATTACTTTTACTATTTTCTCCCCGGCTTTTGTTTTTAAAACAGCGGCACAACCGTTAACATTTATTTCCTTCAAGGAATCGTTTGAGTGACGATTTTTTTTTTTTCATTTCGTCCGTTGCGTCCGCTTATAGTATACGGTTACGGTCGGCCGTTCGGTCGATAAGGTTTTTCGATCGCGTCGTTATAACCGTTATTAATTCCGAATCCGAACGCGGAACACACGCCGGCGAATATTAACAAACGGGTGTGCTCCGAAAAATATAAATACCACGTAAGCGTTTTCGCAAACGTTCTCTCAACGGATAATCGAGACATTTGAACGCAGGTATTCGGGTCCACACCATACACAGGCGCGATTTGCGCGTTTAGCGAATTCGTTTGGAACAATTGTAGCGCGTTGTAAAATGTTAGAATCACAGTTCGCCCGCGGGAACCGGGAACGTTACGCGTTCGCAGCGTTTCGTTTTCGCGCGCAAAACGAATCGCTCTCTACCCGAAAAGTCGCGGTGTTCGAGCGTCCGGACCGGAGAACGTAATCGCGACCCGTTCACCTGCGCGGCATTTTTCACGGCGGTCCGCTACTGCGGCGGCGCTATGGAATTCGGGAATTCGCTCGGTTCGCCGCGTCCACGGCGGACGGCAATCTCGTATTTCTCGACGACCGTAACTGGGCGCGCGCCGCAACGGGTCAAACACGACCCCGGGCTCGCGACGTCGCGTTGCAAACGTCCCGTCTCCCCGGACCACCCTGTCGTCGGGACCGTCGCGGCGTAACGTACTCTGCGCGCGATGCGCACCGACGGACGCGCGCAGTGTCCCGCGGGGGGTTTGCCGACTTTGTGCGCGCGCGCTCGCGTACACGTACGCGCGTGTAAAATACGCGTGTCGCGGATTAATTTCCCGGCCGTTTCGAGTTTTCCCGCGTAACGCCCCGTCGCGTACGCGCGCACGGCCGCACGGATTAACCCCGGGGATCCGTCCGCGCCGTCCGATCCGATTCGCCGGGGGGGAGGCGCCGCGGTTAATTAATCGAAAGCCATTATTGCAGTTGGACCGTCACGCCGCGGATATTAACTATTTCCGTGCGGGTCACTTTGCCCACGGTGCTGTTGGTCAATAATTGGTTATTGGCTGTCGCGTTTGTTTACAATAAACGCCGGAACGCGCATGAATAAAACACGTAAATAACGTGCCGTCACGTCCATTTGAATGCGTAGAAAAAAAAAAAAACACCGACATACTTCGCACGTGCGCGGGGCCACTGTTGTGGGCGAGAAGTCGGGAAGGTAGTCAACGGGAAATTCAATGCGTACCTGTACGCAACGGTTAAGTATTATTACACCTGTTTTCCCGTTTTTCCTCCGTTTCCTCCGGTTTTTCCTCCGTTTGTCGGGAAAACCCCTGGACAAATCAAAATTATGACATTCTTGGAGTGCCTCCCCGGGTTTTTTGAATTTGTCGAAATCTATACAAATGTTTAACGAGTAAAATACAAACAATTTGAAAACGATAATTTATTCGCAGTCGTCAATTTAAAATCAAAACGGTGGAAAAATTATTTTTTTGTTTTTGATATCACGAAAACGTGATAACAACTTTGTCTTCCGATACCTGTAGAACCTCGATATTTGATAGCATGATTATTGGTTCAACGTTAACGTTTCTTATGTGATGCCGCCGCGGTCAAACCATGGAGCGGTATTTACTACTCTATGGGTCACACCGAAAAACCGTGATTGAAGACGTGATTACTTTCAACTGATAAGACACGGGTATTTTGCGACGATGGTTATACACTATGTCAACACGAATTATAAAATCGCGGTTTTAATTTGTTTGATAATTTAAAATTTTAGATTAATTAAAAATACCTCGTAAAAATACATTATAATTGATAAAACCCAGTATTAACAGTATAGATAAAAAAAAAAAAATAAGCGATAGACGCGGATTTATCTCCACAATCCGCCACTGCAGTACGGTTATGTTTTACCGAATAGCCGGCAAATATCTGCTAACAACAAAATGTTGGCATCACTGGTCTAGGGACCAGGGTAGGTATACGGTTTACGTCAGCATAATAATATTAAATAGACGGACATAATTATAACATTATATTTATGGTAGGTCCACGACGGTAGACAACTTGCCCCCAGAGAAACGTTTTGGCGTTTGGGCGAGGCAATTTAATTAATTTCTAAATAGTTGCTACTTTAGTATTATTTGCGTTTTGAAGGATACCGCCGCCGCCGTCGAGGGAGGCGATTAATTATTATATTGTCCCTGCAGCCGTTTTAGTCGAGTAAACGGTTTTTTTTTTTCCCCCGTTTTATGTCCGATTAATACCATTTCAACGATTTACGAAAATTACACGAAACCGGCGATTGTGCTTGTTTTGGGTACACCTTTTTATAAAACTACATTAAGTATAATGCGAAACGTAAAAGCATTTTCGAAAAAATCCACTTATTATGTTTGTTCGATCTTTCCGTCTGTGAAGTTTTCCGTCCATAATGTTATAGGCGTCTCGTTTTTTTTAACGAAATGTTTGGAAAAATGAATATAAAAACAGTAAGTATTTATTCTTACAATACATTAATTTTAAAAATTATTTATACAGTTTTTATCAAATATCAAAAGTTTTAAAAAATTAACTCGTGGCGTTTCTGCAATTATTGATTCACATGCATTATATATTTTCTTTAATAATATTTATTTAATATTGTACCTATTTTCCCGTTTTTCCAACGATTTTAGATTTATTGGGAAAACTGAGAAAATCAAAAAGATTACCTCTTTAAAATACCTACCCAATCAGATTTATTTTTGGGAAAATTACTATCATTGTAAATCGGAGCGAAAAGTTGTTGGAATAAAAAAAAAAGTAGTGATCTTTTCGGAGACAAAAATCAAAAATAAAAGTTAAGAAAGTTTATTCTGGCAGCGTGCGAAATTCCGGTTTATCTACTACTTTAAATAATAAACTATATTTAATTTTAAATCATGAGGTGTTACTTTACACGTGTTTAGAAAGCTAACAACAACAGATATGGGTAAAAGTATTCACAATAAATATTCGAATAAATACAAAAAATAGAATTAAGAATATGTATTCGATTTCTTTGCAACAATATTATTACGAGAATACACGTTGAACAAAAACATATTGAGGTTATGTTCCAATGACTTAAAGAAATTATAGTTATTATTTGATGATAATAGCCAATACTTATAAATGAAGTGTTGGATATTTTAAAAACTGTTATAAATTAAGTGTCATCGGGTATAAATTAAACATCATTTGAAGTAAAGTGTAAACGAATTGGAGCATTTGCACTTATCGAAGAAAATGTCTTCCGATAAAATCAAAGCAAACAAAATCGTACAGTAAAGTATTGTAAATATTTTAAAACGGGACTAAGAAAAAAGAGCTTTTTTTTTTTTTGGAATAAATTACGCTTTTTAAAACTACTCGGAATACAATATAATGAATATTATATTGTATTGAATACTTTTTAAAAACAGTGTTTTTTTTTTTTAAAATATCCAAGGCACTTTACCCGGTATACCACCTACATCTACCCACAACAACGGCGATAAAAGGTGTATAAACAAAAATTATTCAATATAAGTGTAACTGTTGAACCGAACGAATTTGTCAAGGTCCAGAATAAAATACACTGCGTTTCTTTCATTCTATGCTGTTGAGAGGTGTGCTTTTAAATTTAATATTAGACCTTTTGTCAGAATATTATTATTCAAACTTAAAATTAAGAACCTCGTCCTTTGGTTTTTTCGTTATTTTATTTTTCAATTCTGAAATACAACGATTTAATACCGCTTAAATCTCGCTTAAAAATGTAAACAACCGACAGACTTGGGCAGATAATGTTCTCCTTTTGATGCTCGATGAAATTATGTAAATTCACTGTAAAATCAAATAACCAACAGAGGAAAATTGATTGAGCTGTACGCAAAACTATCACCAAGACGGTTCCTGACACGGCGACAAATAACACTTGTGTTATTTGACGCGTGACGCGGAACGTCCAAGGTGTAAACCGTTCTGTGTGAAAAGATGACCTTTCGACACGAGACGTTTACGACGAAATCCACTCGACTCTTAATAATTGTATTTCGAGCAGTCACTGCTCGCCACATAAAATCGCGCCCCCGTCTCTTGTAATACGTTTCGAAGGTTTACACAGACCGCACTACGTAATATAGCGTCTCGAAGACACCGGCGTCGTCCCGGCTCGCCAGATTATATTATTATTAATTCGACTTTTCGTATTGTTTTCGGGGCGGCTGCGCAGACCTTCTGCCGCCTCCTGCCCTATATTATATTGTTCTTCGCCGTACACACGCACACACACATACGCAATACGCACACGCGCACACAACCTTTACACAAAATATGTACGGGTATTAAGTAAGAGCGTTATTTGCTGGCATAATATAGGTATGCGCAGTATACTAACCCCCGTGGTCGTTTCGGATTGTCGTCATTTATCTCGCGACTGTATGGCAAAGTTTGTTCGCGAAAATAAACGTCGCCGTCATATTATTACACGCGCGTGTGTGCATGGCTATGAGCCAAAGATAACGTAGCTTAAAAAACGCAGTTTCTCTGGTTGGCCGGTCAATGGTTTGCGAAAAAAAAAAAAAAAAAAACCCGTAAACAATACGCATAAACGTCAGTGTTACATCATCATAAAAATTTGGGGAAGGAAAAAAGAAAGCTTCAATAATAAAAGACGAAAAGGGACAACTTCTATATGAAGAAAAGGAAATAGTTAATAGATGGAAAGAATATTTACAAAAACTTTACGGAGACGAACCAATGAATGGAAACATCATGAATGATAATGAAGAACATATAGATGATAATATAGGGGAAGACATCTTGAGAGGAGAATTTGATAAAGCAATGGAAGAATTAAAAAACAATAAAGCTCCAGGGATAGATGAAATACCGGCAGAACTATTGAAAAACTTTGGTGAGAAAGCAAAAGACGTACTCTTCAAAATCATATCGAGCATGTATAAAACTGGCCAAATACCAAGTGACNATCGAAGGAAGTTTAACAGACGACCAATTTGGTTTTAGAAGAGGTATGGGAACTCGAGAAGCCATCTTAACATTAAGGCAAGTATTTGACAAAATGAACAGGAAAGGAAAAACTACTTTTATATCATTTGTAGACCTTGAGAAGGCCTTTAATAACGTGAATTGTGACATAATGTTTGACACCTTAAAGAAAACTGGAGCAAGTTATAGAGACAGAAGGATAATTCATAGTTTGTATAAAAACGAGATAGGAGTAATCAAAAGTGGAGCAAGTGAAGAAGAAGCCAAAATTATGAAAGGTGTCCGTCAGGGATGCTCACTGTCACCATACCTCTTTAATTTGTATGTACAAGAGGCCATTAACAAGATTAGAGAGAAGGGTGGAGTCGGAATAAACATACACGAAGAGAAAATAGACATGCTTAGATTCGCAGACGATATAGCTGTACTAGAAGAAAACTAAGATCAACTAACATCGCAATTGATAACGAATCATTGCAACAAGTACAAGAATATAAATACCTAGGAAGTTTAATAACGGCAGAAGGTACTAGTAAAAAAGTAATAGTAAGTAGAATAAATCAGGCAAAATGTGCATTCAATAAGAAAAAGAACCTACTCACCTCCAGAAGCATAGATATTAACATCCGAAAGAATTTGATTAAAACATACGTGTGGAGTGTGGTGTTATATGGTAGTGAAACTTGGACGATCGCTAAAGCAGAAGAAAATAAATTATTGGCTTTTGAAGCATGGTATTGGAGAAGGATGCAAGGAATAAGCTGGAGAGAACATATGACAAACGATGAGGTATTCGCAAAAGCTAAAGAACGAAGATGTTTCATGAAAAGTTTGAAGAAAAGAAGAACCAAACTAATAGGACATATACTAAGACATAACAGCCTATTGAAAAGAATTATGGAAGGAATGATAGTAGGAAAGAATGTAGTTGGTAGACCCCCTCTGGACTACTTACAACAAATAATGAGTGATGTGGACGTCCCAGGCTACAGACACATGAAGAGGAAAGCGGAAAATCGGGAAGAATGGAGAGTTGCAACAAACAAGCCCCACGGTTGCTAACTAAAAAAAAAAACATTATCATAATACTTCATAATGTGTGTTAACAATCCGTGTCAAATATGACTGTCGGACTTCGACAAATACAAACGTACAAGCGAATGTGATTTAAAGTTCAAAATGTTTAGTTTTCAAAAAGCTAATACTACTAAAAAATGTGCCATTGTTTACGGAGGGAAGTTGAAAAGGAGTTAATTAGATGTAGTTATTATTTAATTTATATCTGTACGCAACGATAAATTATCGTTAACAATAAAAACGATTCTGAGCGTTAAAAAAAAGAAAAATTACTTATCGTTTTGCCTCGTTGTTGCAAACGAGTGACTCAGAAACCAACAAAACGAATACGAAAAATTGCCAGTTTTTTCTATTTACAAAGAAAACAACAAGAAAATAAAATTACATTCTCAATGCATCAACAATGTTTAAACATGATTTAAATTTCGTGATTTGTAATGTAGAACCTTTTAAATATAAATGCCTATAAGTAATTTAAAACTGACTAGAATGTTTTGAAAGTTTTGACACGTATGAAGTAAGCTAATATTAGTATACTGTGCAAGTTTCAGGTCTCTATATTTCTAACCAAAAAAAAAAAATAATAACTAAAACTATTTAACCCTTATTTCTGAAAAATGTCCCTTTTTTCCTACATTTTACCGGTTTTTTCCACGTATTATTAGACTAAAAATAAAACAAAAGAATAACCTACTCAACACATCAAACACCGAATCCAACATTCTAAAAAAAATAAATTTTGTTATTTTTCATCGAGAAAAAGAGTCTGGTACAAAAGTTTTTAACAAATATAAAAAAAAAAATGGAAAAAAAAAACACTCATATCATAGTTGCATCAATTAATTCCTCGCTACGCCCAGAATCTAAAAAAAAAAAAATGTTTTCTGGTAAATCGTTAATAGTAAGAAAAATATGTTATGAATTTGAAATATAAATGAAATACTTCAACAAAAACTCGAAGTGTTATAGATGATAAAGAGACCGGAGATTATTTACCCGCCCCTACCTGTCGATCTAATAACTCAGAACCTGCAACAATCTCCGGCACGCTGATCTCGATTTTAAATAAAAAAAGACGTCCTAGAGAAATGGATACGGGTGCAGCCATTATTATAGATAATTTAATGTGTACCAATAATCATTTATAAACCGGAGTTCAGGTGATAGTGATACTTTGTCAACAATATACATGTCATTTTATAATAAAATAATGAAATAGCCATTATACATTTAATATATTTACTTAAATAATATTTGTTTTATGTTGTATCGATTTTCCCAATTCTTTTACGTATTTCCTGGTTTTACATGTTTTTTCCCGGTTTTTTGCATTTTCTGAGAAAACTCCGGAGAAAATCGAAAAATAACCTCCTTAAAGTACCTCCCTAGTGAAATTTCCTATAAGAAATATTGCTATCATTGAAATTCGGAGCGAAATTGCTAGTAGAAGAGTTTTCCACAGAAAAAAAAAAAAATTCATTATTTATATTTATAATATTTCGTAAATTTTCGCGTTTTTTTTTCGGTTTTTTGCATTTAATGAGAAAGCTCTTGAGAAAATCGAAAAATCGTCTCCCCAAAGTACAATCCCAAGTAAATTTCCTTTCAGAAAAAGGTCTACATCTTATCCACCGGAGTAAGTTTTCTTAGAGAAAACGTTCACATAAAAACGAAAAAAAAAAAAAACAAATTAAATTCAACATCCGTGTAAAACCAATGCATTCTTCGCTCGACTCAGAATCTAACATATTTCGGATCCGTTTCGTCGTCTGTAGTGACGCGTTTGTTTGAAAATGTTTTTCCAGTGTTTTCACCCCCCCGACGGCATGCGATTTCGATTTATTTTCTCGGATACGGTCTGAGACGAGTCCGATCTATTGTAAACGGTATTATATCGTTAAATAAGACAAAACGGAACCATAACGTATTGTATTATTGTCGTCGTCTCTCCGTCGCCGTCGTGTCGTGGCTCTTTATTGCGCAGTGATGCGGACGGGGATAATGTACGTATATAATATATGTTGTGTAATTTCGCGAAATTCGTTTTCGTCTCGTGCGAACGCCGCACGCCCCCGCATCAATAAAACGGCATAATATACTTGCACAAGATGACGCAGAACGCGAGTATAATACGCCGCCGCCGCCGCCGCCGACCTAACCTCCGTGACTAAGCGTTGTTTCTTCTTTTTTCGATTTCGTCTTCGGTTTGTATAACAACATAATACTTTTACGCGGTCGCCCGGACTGGCATGTGGCGGCGGCGGGAGCGGCGGCGATTTTTCACGTTCAGGCCTCAATCGAGATCACGGGGATAAATATTCGATCGCCTACAACGCCCCCCCCCCTCCCACACGACCCCTCGTCCCCCCGTACGCGTATTTACAGTTTCGATATGGACGCCGCCCCGAAACGACGACCCGGTGGTGTTTCAGGAGGTTCTGTATTACAAAATATCACTCGCTTGTCGGTCCGAATAAAAGGGTTCCGCGCGAAAACTCGGAAATTCCACTCTTTCAAATTGTCTAGGAAACGAAGAAAAATATTTCAAATTTACGGAGTTGTCTGGTTTCTTGGCCAGAAATTTTAGTTTAACTTTTTTTTTTTTTTTTTTAAATTCTCCGCATTTCAATAACATTTATTCCAATTGTGTTTATTTATACCTAAGAAAATGCATCATTATTCAGATACAAGAAGAAAACAAATTAATACTAAGGTACTCCTATAATAACTATTACAATAAAATTATCCAGAGATTAATTATCTCGTTTTTGCACAGCATTTTTGGAACAAGACAACCCCAAATATGTTATATTTCTGAAACGGCTGGTCAGAATTGTCTCGTTCTTACACAGGACTACGCGTCATTTTTTTCTTTGTCAGAAATCACCACTATCCCGTTTTCGAAAAAAAAAAAAAATGGAGTTGTCGAGTTTTTGCGTGAAACCCTTCAATCGGCCAGTGCTCTGAGTGTATATCTAAAACCTATAGGCCCTGGCCGTCGAAAAGGACCTAACCTAACCTACTGCCGCGATCGAACTCGGTTAGAGTCTACGAATACTCGTCCCGTTTAACGAATACGTCGTCGTCCTCGTAGTATGTACCGTTATTTTCGCGTGTCTCCGAGACGCGACTCTCTGATGTCGAGATCGTCGACACGGTTTCGCCATAGACGTAATATTATAATATTGTTACTAGGACCCGAATCGTATGCGTTTGCGCGTTATTTTTTTTTTTATAACATTAAAAAGTAGTTGAAAAGGACACAAATTCGAACCTTTGCCTACTATGTCGGTACGCACAATATTTGATTTAGCGTATTTGGTAAATTTTTGATCATTACGCATATTTAGGCATTTTTCAAAAAAAATAATGCATACATTGAGAAAAAAAAAATAGTATTAAGTTAACAACACTGCTATATATTAACTAAGGATATATTTACGTTTCGATTATTTTTATACTTTTATTTATCCGTATATTGACAATTGACAATTGTTTAACGACCGAGTCCGCTATATTGCGTACGTATAATAGGATAAATTTTGATGTAAGTACGACAAAGAATACTACCGTGCGAACAATCTATATCTTTGAATCTTTTAAGGTACGATGCGAATTTTTTTTATCATTTTTAATAACCCAAAAAGTAAAAGAAAAAAAAAATAAACCATACATAGAACATAATTTTCACCGGGTGGACCTATAGTTTTCTTACACGTAGATTTCTTTTCGGTATGTTTTCGGCACGGAAAATACCGATGATAATATACGCAATTAATTTAAAAACACGGTTATACCGTGACTATAATATATGGTAGGTCCGTGATGTAAGGCTTACGTAATATGCGTTTCAAGAACAACTTTACGGGTTTTGTTTTGAAAGTTTTGTTATAATATTCGGTATAAAACAGGTATGTCTGTAAACTTATGTAATTTGTTATGCAATATTTATAAAACGTTACAACTCGTAAGTATAGATACATAAGTAGGTCATTATTTTATTTACAAGCGTATTATGTTATTTGTAATATATGGAAAATATCAATAAATTCGACTTAATAAATGTCTTATGAAAAATTCGGTAAAGAAATAACAAAAAAAAAAAAAAAACAAACAAACTGAAACAGATAATATATGATCATAACGCACACTGTCAAGTTGAAAAAATAAGTTTTTCATAAGTGTAATATTTATTCTTTGCCTACGGTATTCAAAATGCCAGTTCTTTATAACGCACTACGCATGCGCGTTTGCAGGATTTTTCGCACGGTGCGCCATAACGGTTACACTATTAATCTCGGACCCGAAGCAGTGATAATTAATGGCACGGTTAGAGGTTGGTTCGGTTCATTGGTTACTTAATGACAATAATTTGTTCATACCACATGGGTTAGCGTCGTATGATTAAATAAAGTCCAGAACGAATACATTTCGTTTTCAGTCCGCGGCACATCTAAAACTCCCTGTGCGCACGCTCACCATTATGTGCATTGCCGTATATTTGTTTTGTTATCTATTACAAAGTCAAAAACGACATGGTGTTATGACAAAAATATCAGATTAGGTTTTACAATACACTATTCAGCAAGGGCGGCCAAACATTCGATCGCGAACGACCCGTAGATCGCGGACAGTTTCAATGTTGATCTACCTTTGTTAGAATCTGGCATATTTAATTCATAATATTATTTATTAAGAGTCTTAATAAATAAAAACATTTTAGTGTTTTAAACAACTATTATTTAATTAATAATTACATATTTTTTGTTTATTTACGATAGTCGATTCTCAAATAAAACCGCGCTCTTAGTAGATCCCTAGCGAAAAAAGTTTGGCCACCCCTGCACTGCTATATTACAATACATTTATACAGTAAGTGCATTTGTGCACTACGTTCTACGTCCATATAGTACTATACACGTTATACATTAAGTCAAAAGAAAGTGCATAATAATAATGTTCACAGAAAATCGAAAAAGTGTCTG